TAGGGTTGTTGCAGATGTAATTGATGACGATCAGGTCATACTGGAGTAGGGTGGACCCCTAACTCAATGTGATTAGTGTCCTTAAAAGACCTCATGTGAGATCAGAGACACAGGGAGGATGGCATATGATGATGAAGGCAGAGATTGGAGTAATGCATCCACAATCCAGAAAACATTAAAGAATACCAGCAAATCCCCAGAAGGTAAGCATGGGACATGGAACAGATTCTCCCTCACAGTCCTCGGAAGGAACTAAGCTGCCAACACCTTGATTTGGAACTTCTAGCCTCCAGACTGAGAGGAGATGTTTCTGTTGTTTAAGCCATCCACCTTGTGGTACTTTGTTAGAGGGGCCCTAGGAAACTAATGCTGTCCTTATATTAGGTAGTAGGTGGAGAGGTTTTTTTTTTTTTTTTTTTTTTAATAATTCACAATTTTCAAATGTGTGACATCTGCTACTTTTCATGCATCCAATAGTTATAGAATAAAAATAAAAAGACAAAACATGTTATTATTTTCATCACTACCAAATCAGGGCATGTTTCTACTATTAATCTCAATGGCAAATTCCAGAAAAGCTTTTCTAGACAGTTTTATTAAAACCATAAAATTCAACTTCCAACACTCCCTTTAACTTTTATGGAATTTTTATTGCAACCTCAGTGTCACTGAGTCCCTGTTTCTCTGACTTTAATTACAGTGCACTCATCTTCTGAGCAAAGTGAGGACACTTTGTCTAATTCTGAGCGAAGGTGATTGCCAAGCACACACCTGTCATGGTATGTTTGCTTCTTGTAGACCGGCTGACGTCAGCTTTACCTCCATTGAACACAAAGGGAATCCTGGACATCTAAAATCACTGCAAGGTTTCCAGCACACATGCCCCCACAGTACCTTCCCTTACCCTAGAAGTCACACCAGACCAGGGGCTTTGTATGCTTTGTTCACACAGCTGTGTCGCTGCCACTGAGAAACTGCCTTACATGAGGTAGGTGCTCAAAAAAATTTGTTGAATGAATATATCAATGAATAGTTTTATGAGAATGTCCACTTCTCAGGAGAAGTACCAATAGCAACTACCACATTTCAGAAGAGTTTATGAACCGTGCCCAGGCTCTGGTAATTTTTTTTTTTTTTTTTTGATCAGTTTGTTTCCCTTATCTGCGGAATCACCAGCTCTTCTTCTTCTGTATATAAGCAGTCAAAGCTGTTTGAATAAACAGATTATGATCAGATTGATCATTGATCAAAATGATCAGATTTGAGTCCCATAAGGCCAGACCCATGCACATAAACACACACACACGTGTGTGTAACTTTTTTTCTTTTATGAGTTAGTTGTCTAATCTTTCATATCTATTAGAACTTGCTCTGCTAATAGTAACATATTCTTTCTATCTTGAGGAGAAGAGTACTTTAGAATCTTTTATTGATCTTCAAATGGAATGCCTCTCGATTGAGGAGTGGATTCCAAAAAAGAAACTCCAGGAATACAGGCAAAGTAGGTAATTTTTTAAAATGGGATTTACGGGGCACCTGGGTGGCTCAGTCGGTTAAGCATCTTCCTTTGGCTCAGGTCATGATCCCAGGGTCATGGGAATGAGCCCTGCATTGGACTCCCTGCTCAGCAGGGAGTCTGCTTGTTTCTCTCCTTCTGCCCCTCCCCCTACTTGTGCTCTCCATGTCCATCTCTCTAAAAAAAAAGGAAAAAAATGGGATTTATGTAGTATTTTGAAACATAAATTACTATTGTTTTGAATATATCGCATAATGCATGTTATGATTTAACATTACATTAATGAGGTTTCTTTCTTTTTTCTTTCTTTCTTTCTTTCTTTCTTTCTTTCTTTCTTTCTTTCTTTCTTTCTACCAGTAGATAGAGAAGCTGATGTTAGTGAGGTGCTCAAGTGAGAGATGGAGAGTTTTCAAGATCTCAAACTATAATACTGACAATGTTGATGGTACCATTGATGAATTCAAACAACATTTGATAAATGACCAGGCACAGTCCTAGGTGAGGGTGGAGAAAGGAACAAGACCTCTGCAGTAATTCATTTCAGTGAGAGAGACATAAATAAGCAGGTAATTGCAATGTAATGTGATTAAGTCTTCTTAATTGTTGAGGGAAAGGATAGTGCTTTATGGCATTCACGTTTTCTGCGTAGTTTATTACAGAGTTGTTCTTTGGACACTGGCTCCTCCAGATATAAGATTCCTTTACTAACCAGAATATTTGATTAATCAAATTGTTCAATTCCCTGACCATACCTGAGTAACAGTTTATTTTATAGATCACGATCATATCATTAAAAAACCCCTCAATATTTACCACAGGGGAAAACTGTGCAATCAATCTTTTCTATAGTTAATGGCTAATTTATTTTATCTCACTTTAGCATTTTACTATCCTTTTCAATTTCCAGGAATTTAGAGGCCCCTTCTGACTTTAGAACAGAGTAAAGAGGGTTTATTTCTATGTGGTACTGATTTTTTCACATAGGTGGTGGCAAAACTTTACTAAAATAAAAAGAACAAAGGTCACTAATAGATTCCTGTAAGTGTTTAGCTGGAAGAATGAGACACAGCAGGTATGGATTAAAACAATATTAGTAAAAATCAGTTACGGTATTAAAATGACCCAAATCATAATTCCTAATGAAGTAGTGGGTATTTCTTCACCTGATAATGAAATGATCTCCCCAAAATTTAGATTCACAACTCTGAGTAAACATACGATTAGAAATACTGTCAACATTGGGCTTTTAAAAAATCATTAAAATGTTACTAATATCTTATTTGCAGGTGTCCTTCGAGAATACTTCTCGTCCCTCTGCCTTCTCACATTCCTCAGAAAGTTAGAAACATAGTCCCGTCCTCTGATAGTGAACCCCCAGGCAGTGACTCTGATTTACAGCATGTGGCTTAAATGCTTGTTTTTAACTCCCTGGGGATATCGGCCGCTAAGCCCTTTCCTCAAATACACCATCTCTTTCTTTCTGCCTGATTTCTTTCTCCTTCTCGAGCTGGGATTTGGGGCGGATTCCGTCTGCAGACTGCAATGGGACAGTCCAGCACGCCGCCCCGACAGCTGTCTGTTCTTTCCTCAGTTCCGCGGATTCCTATTTTGCAGCTTTAGAGATGGCGCATTGAACTTGAGTTTGAAACAAAACTTTTTCCCAGGTGGTGGGCCTGCCGCTCGGATGTTGATGGAGATGCCGCAGCATCCGAGAGTGCGGAGCCCTGGTCTCTCCCCGTCCGGCTCTGGGCTCCTGGCAAAGGGGGCGGAGAAGAGAGAGGAGAGGGCGGGGGTTGGGGGGGCGGAGGTCACCCGCGCTCTCCAGGCTGCGAGCGCCGCGGGGTGCTGAGCGACCGGAGGAGCCCAGCACGCCCGCAGGTTCCAGCTGGGAGAGCGCGCGGAGGGACGCGCCGCTGGGCCCAGCAGAGCCCGAGCGGGAGCGGGGGCGCGGCGCTGCGCTGCGCGGGAGGAGCCCGCGTTGGCGGCGGAGCGGAGCCCGGAGCCCGGAGCACGATGGCACTCGGAACGGGGCGCCCTTCTCCCCGGAGAGCCCTACCGGCGGCCGGGGATGCCAAGGTAACCAGCCCTCCAGCGGCTGCTTTCCCACGGGTCGGCCTCGGGATGCTCCACCCCACCGAGGTGGAACCTCGCCCGGCTGCACTGGAGGGCACCTTAGTCTGAGCTTGGCAAGTTTGGACCAGATGCCCGAGCGGCGGAGCTAGTTCTGCCGACCCGAACTGATTCTGAGCTGCGCGCGTAGGGAGCGTGTAGAAAGGCTTCCCGGGGAGGGAATGGGACCACGGAGAGATCCCTGCCCGTCCGGTGGTTTCCGGCCGGGGACTCTGGGAGTCCCGCACCCGGGCCAGAGCAGGCATTTGGCGCCCCCCAGAGAGGGAGGGAAACCGACCCCAGGGCGTTTGAGCAATAGTAGAAAGTTTCAGCAAGTTAGGTTTGGGGGAAGGATGTTGCAAGCAGAGGCTTAGAGGGGCCATGGGACAGTAAGGGCGAACTCTGAGCTCTAAGACCCGGAGCAGGAGCCGTCCTCGCGCAGGCCGGGCGGCTCCACTCCGGCCCGGCCCAAGAAAGGCTGTCTCGGTAATTCCCAGCCTCCCGGAAAGCTGCTCCGGGGAAACCTCCATCGAATTAGCTCGAGGCGTGTGGCTGTGGTCGTGGGTATGCAGGGTCTATGACTCAGGCCTCGACACACCACGGAAAGAACGATAAACGTGTGAGACGTTGCTACCCTGCAGCTGTGACTTGGTTAACAGCATATGGGCAGATGTCTCGGGGAGCGCGACGAACTGCCTCCTTACTTATCGTGAGCCGGGATTTCTGCACCGGTGCTCGCTGGACCAGAGACGCTTCTTAGAGACTCACCCCTCGACCTTCCATGGGTCCCACTTGCGTGTGGTTTGCTGAAATTTGATCTAAATCGAACGGTTTTAGAACGTATTGAGAGAAGCCCCGTTTAACATCAGTGAGCTTGCTGGTCCACTCTGTCCTCTTGAAGAAGATTGTCTCATCTTCCTGACAAACAGGTGGCTCACTTAAAGAATAATCTGCAGTTTGGGGACAAAGCCCATCCAAGAAAAAAGCAGAAACTCTAAATGTCACCTCGTTATTTAAATAGACGAATACGCTTTTAAAAAACTTCATGGGGTTTAAATCGAATCTTGGTAGAGATTTTGTCAACTTTACAAGTTTTAAGGTGCCTGTGAGGCGTCAGGGGGAGGTATTGGGGGTACCCATTTGCAGAGGGGCCACAGAGTGAACCGAAGGGGTCTCAATTTTGGCAGCTTCTTTGCCTTGGAAGTGAAATGTGGAAAGGCAGGCAGATGTGTGCTGCTGTGGTATGATGCAACCTTGCTTATGATAGGCCAGATACATCTGAGTCCCACCACGGGGTGCTGGGGCGCGTCAGTCTTAAAAGCCAGATGAGCAGTTTATGCTGTCCTCACACTTCCTCTGTCTTTATGCTACAGATGTCCGGACTGCAAGCCTGCACTGTGCTGAGAGAGAGATGACTTGAGTGGCCAGCATCTTTTTTTTTTTTTTTTTAAGCTCCACAACAATGTCTATGAACAATTCCAAACAGCCAGTATCTCCTGCAGCTGGGCTCCTTTCCAATACAACTTGCCAGACGGACAACCGGTTTTCGGTATTTTTTTCAATCATCTTCATGACAGTGGGAATTTTATCAAACAGCCTTGCCATTGCTATTCTCATGAAGGCCTATCAGAGATTTAGACAGAAGTCCAAGGCATCGTTTCTACTTTTGGCCAGTGCCCTGGTAATCACAGACTTCTTTGGCCACCTCATCAATGGAGCTATAGCAGTCTTTGTGTATGCTTCTGATAAAGACTGGATCCGCTTTGACCAGTCGAACATCCTTTGCAGTATTTTTGGTATCTGCATGGTATTCTCTGGTCTATGTCCTCTTTTTCTAGGCAGTGTGATGGCCATTGAGCGATGTATTGGAGTCACCAAGCCAATATTTCATTCTACGAAAATCACATCCAAACATGTGAAAATGATGTTGAGTGGAGTGTGCTTGTTTGCTGTTTTCATAGCTTTGCTACCCATCCTTGGGCATCGAAACTATAAAATTCAAGCATCGAGGACCTGGTGTTTCTACAAAACAGAGCACATCAAAGACTGGGAAGATAGGTTTTACCTTCTACTCTTTTCTTTTCTGGGGCTCTTAGCCCTTGGCGTTTCATTCTTGTGCAATGCCATCACAGGAATTACACTTTTAAGAGTTAAATTTAAAAGTCAGCAGCACCGACAAGGCAGGTCTCATCATTTTGAAATGGTCATCCAGCTCCTGGCTATTATGTGTGTCTCCTGCATTTGCTGGAGTCCATTTCTGGTAAGAGCCTAACATTTTGACAATTTCTGCTTTCTTTTGTTTTTCCCTGTTGAATATGAGGTTTGTTGTTTTTTTCAAAGTTGTGGTCTTGAGGCAGCACTGTTCAATCTTTTAAATGCTGGAGTTTATTCCTACTCAAAACTTACTTTAACACCCAGCTCTGGCTCAGGATTAAGCTATTTATGGTACCCATGGTTATTTTCCTACAAGTCCTGAGTTGAAAGAAATGTCTTGCTAAACAATTCTAACTATAGTGTAACCTGCTTGCAGAGGAGGATAAAGTAATTTTAACAGAGCAACATAGTTTTAATATACTTAATAGGATTAGTGTCAAAATGTGAAAAAAACTGGCCAACTATAATACAGTATTGTAATGGACTCAACTTAAGTCTTAGTAGAAGAAAGTCACACAGACTTTTAATTTATCTAAAAGGCATATTAGCTCCTGGGTTCTTGTAAACACACAGGACTAGGTCTTGGCTTACAAAGGGAGGTGATGAGTTGAGATAGTTGGATAGTTGAGGTGAACTCTATGGATAGGTTAGGTGAAGAAATCACTAGTTCACCAACCCAAGAACAATGCTCATAGTTCAGGGAGAGGTGTGATTGGTAGGAAAACCAGGGATCATTCCCTTATCATTCCATTCCTTTAAGGAAAAAAAATTTTTAAATGTAGCCAGTAGCTATGTTTGATTTTTATTTGGAAATGAAAACTAAGGTTAAGGAATTAACAACAAACATCAGTCATTTATAGTATCTTCTAGATGGAAGAAAAAAATACATATGATTTTTAAGTATGGCCATAACTCCCTTCATCATTTTACTTTATGATGGGAAGAGTAACAACATGCCATGAATTCGAAAAAGAATCCTCCGTACACAGCTAGTGATGGCAGTAAAGATGATTTTCATTCCTTTTTCGGTAATGGTGAACAAATAGGCTAGAGATAGTAATACAGGGGAGCCACAGGTAGGGGAGATGAAGGTAGATGGAATGCACCCTTGCCTGGTCCTATAAAGGTGCTTGTTACTGATGCAGTTTTCCCAAACCCCTAGCAGGCCCATGTCTAAACATTGTTGCTAGTGGAGTTTTAATAAACAATCTTGATGATCCTGATGCACAAGAAAGTTTGTGAGACCTGCTGTTGCAGACAGATCCCCTGACAGCTGATTTTATTTTACAAAAGGATTTCTGCTTTTTGAAGATTTCTTTATTTATATTATGTCCTCACAGTCTCAGTTTAGCTTACTTGAATTGTCTCGAATTGGTCCTCGGAGCCCACGCCCAGGGAGGCTAGGTTGGGTCTGTCAGTGGTAAGTCAACCTTTTGAGACCTGCCTGTTATCATTTTAGTAGGCCTGAGGTGAAACCAAGCCAGGATTTGATCTGTGCTCATAGTCTAGTTATTTGAACCTGAAGCAGAGAACAGTTCTGTCAATACTTGGAATCACTTCAGCGTTCATTCTTGAAGTTTTATTTATGCCACCTTACAAAGGGAATTCCCTTCAAAGGAGACTCCTTTTTTCCCCTTAAACTTTGAAATAGAGTAGCTTTTCCAAAATCAGAAGTGAGTGTGAGTAGCACTGAAATTAATTGGGGGTTGGAAAGAGAATATGAGGAAGGTGAGGAAAGAGGTACCTGAAAATAGTTAAAGAAACATTTTAAATGAAAGTCGTAGCTCTGGAGAGAACCTGAAAACAATGGGATACGGTGTGCAAGGAGAGACAGGTGGTCAGGGCAACCAAGGTGATCACTGGTGCTTTTGTTTCTGTTTGTTCTCAGTCACCTTTAAAATTCTGCTTAGTTATGGCTTTTGACTGAGAGAGAGGAGTGACAGATAGGTTGACTGCTGTGAGACTGTGGAAGGTAGCAAGATTTCATGCTCATCATGGATATTTTGAATTTATGTTTTTCTCTAATTTCTCTTCCTGAATTTTTGGTTTCCTTCACTGTTGAAATAGATATTACAATTTAGTTCCTATTTTGAACATATTTCTACTGGGAGCACAGTTTTATTTTTGTGCAACATTTTCCAGGTCTATGTTCTGTTTATGAATTATCAACACACCTATGACACCAGTGGATCAATATTTCTAAAATGCCTCTTAGCGTAAGAATTATTTCTCTGTTAGATGCATAATGGATATGCCACCAACACTTGCTGATGGATTGATATTTTATTTGAAGCATTCTTTGCATTCTTGGTTTCTCTTGTGAAGACTTAGGTCTTTATAGCAAATTCTGACTAAGAGATTCATAACTTCTGTGGTCCGGACACACGTGCCTTTGGCATTAGGGTAAGGCCACCAGTCAGCTCTAAATGGAACCCTAGTTAAAAAAAAAAAAAACACTCAGGTTTGGGAATGCCAAATAACACCCAGTGCTAGCATCTCATTTGAAATATTTCTCCATTTTTTCCTTAAATGCTTAGGAAAAATTGCATGGGTGTTAATGACTGAGCCATCACTCTCCACCCTGTATTTTTAAAAAACCAAGAAGTTTTAAAAATATCTCTGAAATCAAGCTTCTGGATTCCCATAGTTGTCCTATAATATTGATAGCTTCCCCCAATGCCCTACTTTACATCATGTGCCTTCTTTCTTTGATTGATGAATATAAATTGTTGGATTTATGATCTGGTTGAACACTTGTGCCCGATTTTTGACCTATTTTCACTGTCAGTTTCAAGCCTCAAACTGGAACAAAGTTACAGGCGCACCACTAAATGGAACAGACAAATAATGCAGATGACAGCGGTTGTGCTTGTTAAGATTCATTGTGTTGAAACTTGGCGATTGTGGCATAATTTCTAAAACTATTTAAATTTGTAGCTGATGACAAAGGGAGTGCTTTATTAATTTCGATGATCTAGTTCAACCAATACACAGGTGAGATGATCATGTTGTTTGAGTTTTCTCTTCCTCTATTTAGTAGACTTTGTTTTTTCTTGAGTAGTTTTAGGTTTACAGGGAAATGAGTGACAAGCACAGATTTTACATTTACATTTACATTCTCTCATGTGCCCCCTGACCTCTTTGTTACCCTTCCTTATTAGTAAGTCCTCTGGTGTGGTACATTTAGCACAATTCATGCCCCATTCTTACTGACTGAAGTCTGTAGTGTTTTTCCATAATGTTGTACATTGTGTGAGCTTGGATAAATTAATATGGACATGTGTCCATCATTGGAGTATCATACAGAATAATTTCGTTGCCCTAAAATCCCCTGTAGTGTTTTTTAAAAATTTTTAAAATATAATGTATTATTTTTCCAAAGGAGGAAGTGTGTGTTTTCAGGAATTAAGATTTAGAAATGTAGTACAAATATAATATTAATTCAAACTATAGCTCAATAAAATTTAAACTTTTACAATATCTGGATTTTATAGTTTTAAACCTGGGGACTCATATAAATTCATTCAATTATAATCCCAACTGAAAAATACAGGAAACTACAAGGGTCACTGACTAGTTTACAATTTCATTTAGCAACAGATTAATACAATAATATTTAAGAGACAAATGGCAACTATACAATTGTCTTCTGTGTATCCTAAGTGAGTCCCCATTCCTTAATAAGTAAATCTTGAAGACATTCTTTTGATGTTTCTAGGGTGAGGGGAAAAAAGCCCATTTATCAGCCCTTCAAGAAACATTTTCTTGATATTATTTTTGTTTTTATACAAATAATTATTCTTTTTAATGTTCCGTTCTAGAATACGTAACCCTGAAAGAAACTTATTATTATTGCTATGCTTATTTCATCAGTTTAGCAGAGCGATAAATAGTTGTTGACTGGTTGACTGTAACTTAAGTAGTATGAATGTCCAGAGATTGCAAATGATTGACCAGAATGTGGATTCTCGGTTTTGTAGGTAAGAGTTAATTAGGCAAATGCTGAAACCAAATGGTAATTTTTAATCTGTTCCCTAAGTCAGCACCTGTAGACACTATTAAACTTCAGCAATCTTTTACTAGAAGGACATACATTTGTTCACTTTTACTTCAGGGGCAGAGGATAATTTTGATTTGGGAAAAGAAGAGTAAAGCCTATGAAAAGTAAATAGATTTCTTATATAGATGAGTTTATCCAAGAAATGTGTTCCCTTGCATATATAAAATTTGAACTTGATTTTTTTTAAGATTATTTACTCCTAATGCTAGTGTTTCTAGCCAGTGTAGTTAAACATTTAGTCACTAAGATGTTTGTCAGCGATAATTAAAAATGTTGGGTAGCCGATTGAAGTTCGACCGAATTACTACAGGTATTGGCATCAAAATGAACAGGTCTTAGAGGGCTTATGGCAAATGATGAGAGCCTTGCTCTTGGGGAATTTACCCTCCTAAAGGAAGCTGCCTTGACCATGGCTCCCCCCTTTTGGTCACTCTGTGTGCAGTGATGGGTAGATGTGGGGATACAAAGTCTCTTTCCTTAGCACAGTCTATCAGAAGTCCAGTCATTTATACATTACCAAAATATAAACTATATTACAGATAGGTGTGATCTGATGAACATATTGAGCTACATACAGACCTTTGGAGTTGAATTCCTTTGCATTTATTATCTCACTCCATGAAAGTGTATGGTGTAAGATTGGTTCAGCAAACGTCAGTCAATTAAAAGAGACATTGCTAAGTTGAGAATTTTCGTAAAATTCTGTTGCTTTAGATGTGTATAGTGGTTGGAATACTTTTGGTATTTTAAGTTAATTTACTCTTGGCAAAACAAGATTTCCTGTTTTTAAGGCAAAAGAGTTATAAAAATGCCCAAAGATACCATAGACATTGGGAGGGCACTTAAAAACATTGCTTGAATGATTCAAAAGTAAATGAATCAGAAACATGTGGATTAGATTTATACCCTCTTGGATATAGAAATCTTCTGGCTTAATGTGTCTTGAGGTTTTTATTAAGCTCCAAAACATTTAAAGAACAATTCAAGATTGTTAATGTGCCCAGAATCTCTCAAGGTTGCCAGTTTTAACTTTGTTTAGTTTTTCTTACTTACTTATTTGACAGAGAGAGAGAGAGAGAGAGAGAGAGTGAGCACACAAGCAGGCGGAGCAGCACAGGGAGAGGGAGAAGCAGGCTTCTCACTGAGCAGGGAGCCTAATGCGGGGTTTGATCCCAGGACCCCAGGATTATGACACGAGCTGAAGGCAGATACTTAACTAACTGAGCCATCCAGGCGCTCCAACTTTGTTTAGCCTTATCCTTACAGGAGGTATATAAAATAACTTCCATTGTATTTGCTTTGGAAGGCATTTCTCGCCACACCAAATTTTACCTGGTACATCAATGCCATTTTTCTATATTTAGAGAAGACTTCACCCAATAGGAGAAAACGATCTTTTCACATTTGCAAGTATTACTTTTCAAAGCTTGTGTAAACCTGTCTTTCTGTCCATCCTCTCCTGAGTGTAAAGATGGTAATGCCACAGAAGAGTGGGTACAATTGTGGTTTCATACAGAGAGGGAGGCTGTTTTTTCTCACTCCTCCTGATGGTAGAACACCACCATGGAGTAGCTGTAGTGTGATGATGAGGAGACAGAGTCAATTGAGTAACATAAAAGGATTTATTTTAGATTTTGTGCACAGTTCCAAATCTAGCCTTCTCTTTAAGATGCTGTAATTATTCAAGTACAGGCAGGGAGATAGGGTCCTATCCCAACCACCTCTTGGCTATAACAGGGAGTGACTCTAAGCCAATTTTTTTACCTCTGTGAACTGATTATAATAATATGACTTACCTAAAAGTACTATCAGAAAAAGTGATCTGACCTCCCTACATCTCATAATACAGTAGGTGGCCAGTAGTAAATCTAAAATCCAAAATCCTCAAAAAGTCTATTGCTTTTACCACTACCCATCATCTCAATTAGAAAATCTGTCATCTGTGTTTAGTCAGATGTTTACCGTGTCCTCCTCTATTAAGAAGGTTTGGTTGCTGTGGAAAGGAGCAGAGGGAGCTTGAAGCTTCAGAAAAGTTTTCTTGGACATTTCCACCTGAAGTTTCGAGTTACCCTTCCTTATTTCACTGTCTCGCCAGTAATAAAGATGTTGTCTGCAGATCTGCATAATTTGAATTCAAATACTCCAATATTTTATGATGATAATCATTCATAAGGTATTAATCTATAAATTACTGGGATCAGGTTAAAATTAGCTCCCATTTATTGAGACTGTTACATATACTGCGCTATGCTTGGGTTGTGAGTAGTTCCAAGGAGTGAGATAAAGCTCTTCCCTCAAAGAGCTTGTAACTTAGTGGAAGTGAAAGGCATACCCTGTCTGAGAGCTAAGAAGAATCCTGTTTATTCCACCTCCTGGCTCTGTGACAATAACCACTCTGTGCCTGTCTGTTCATATGTAAGATGAGTATTGTAATGTTTCATTGGGTTGTTGGGAGGACTAAATAAATTCATATATGTAAGTTAAAATAGTGCCTGACGTAGTATCGTATGTGTCAGTGATTATACATTATCATCTTTGTCGCTGTTACTATTAAATATTACTGCAGCCAGACAATACCTTTGTCAATGAGACAATTGAAGGCACTTTTTAATTAGTTATTAAAGGAGTAATGGATGTTCTAGTAGATGGCAGTCCCTTCTGATTTGGTGGCCCACAATTATTACTTGTCTATAGGTTTGACAAATATTTATTGAGCACCCTACTATTGTGCAAGGCAGTGTTTTAGATACTGCAGTAACAATCACTGATTTAAGTGTTCACAATATCTATGCTGTAAGAAACGATACTCCTAGAAGACAAGGGAAGGCATGTGTAGGAAATTGAAATACGAAGATATTTGATTACATTTATGTTATAAGAGAATAACAGGTATTCTTTTGTGAATATATGTGGATGAGATGACTTTTGATAACATAAAAGTAAAAATTTCTGTAGTACATTATTTAGGAGGAAAAATTACTGGAAATAAATGGGATCCTAAGTGAAGTAATGTAAAAACCAAGGAGTAAAGAGATAATAATGTATATAATTCCTAGAGATACAAAAATGTACGAATAAGAAACTTAGTATTTAGGACAGACTTTTACCGTATTAGAACACAGCAGGTCATGATAAATTAATATTAAAAGCTAGGAGAATTTTCAAATAATGACACATGAGTAGCAGAAAATTAAATCATAAGATAAGATAATTTAATAATTCAAATCAGTATTTTGTACTGTCTATTGGTAAGAAAAGTGACTCAGGATATAGAACAGAAATAAATGTGGGTGAAATGAAGCATTACAAGAACCACCAAGTCTTTCCAAGAATTTATTTAAGAAAGTGCTGGAAAGGACTGAAAATAGAGAAAAACAGATTACCATAAACATTGATAATAGAAATGAAGAAAATAAAATCACTTACGCTTAGATGTACTTGCTAATTTACTCATTGATTTACTCATTTGGCAGACTTCTGCTGGGTAGAACATTCGGTGTCTCTCTAGGTGGACAGTGAAGCAGAGACAGAGTCTTGACCTGGGAAAATATTCCTGAGGCCCCTTCTAGCAATCATCCTTTTAGCTTCTTCATTTTATCCATGGTCTTCACACTCCTCTCCAACCCCTAATTCATACTCTTCCTTCTCTTTCTACTTTTATTTTTTAAACTTTAATTTTTTAAAAAATTTTTGAGAGAAGGAGAGAGAAGAGGAGGTCAGAGGGAGAGGAAAAGAAAGACTTTTAAGTGAGCTCCATCTCACAACCCTGAGATCATAGCTTGAGCCGAATTTACGAGTGGATGCTTAACCAACTGAGCCATCCAGGTGCCCCTCTCTTTCCACTTTTAATGTGGAATAAATATAACTGTTTGCATATTTTGGCCTTGTCTGGGAGCAGGGCAAAGTGTTAATTGCTGTATGAATTTCTTTAGTAAATAGTGGAGGAAAACAAGGAAAATAAAACCCACAGGAATGCCCAGGAAGGACTGGGAGACATCCAGGAGTGGAGAGCAGGGAGGAGCAGGGACAAGGCAAGGACGGAAGTGGAAAGCAGGAAGCCAGGTGTAGGAGTAGCACGTGAGGAGAGAGACACTCCTGTGTCCTAGGAACTCCACTGGAAAGGAAGGCCTCTCTTTATTTCCATAGGTATCTTTTCCTTACTAAGGAACATTAAATTTGTGTATCCTGTCCTCTCGATCTACTTTAAAAAATGCAATGTTTTCTCTAAGTAGAAAATTGTATTGTAAAAAAGATACAGTAAACTACACATTCAAATTAGGAAAAATATCTTCCAAATCCCACTCTCTGGAGATTACCACTATTAGCATTCTGAGTGCATACTTTTACTCATCTGATAGGGAAAATATATTGGTTTAATTTCTTTGATTAATAGAATAAACTTTCTTTTTCTTATATAATTGGGCATTATCTTCTTTTTTTGTGAATATGTAGGTTTCTGTAAATGATTTTCAAGAACTCTTTGGATAACAAAGAACAGATAATGCTAATATATAAAAACAGCTATAAAATCAGTTGTTATAAAAGCAATTGTTTTTCCATGTTCATTGTTAGCCTTTTTATTTAGTATTTTAATTTATAAAAGTAGTGAATGAATCAATAAGTTTTTTTGTAGTTACTGCTTTCATGTTCAAAAATACTTTTCTCAGGCTGAGATGATATTGGTATTTCTCTCTTTTTTCCTAGCACTTTTGCTTTTTCATTTTTTGTATTTATGTTTTTAATACATTTATAGTTTATTTTGTTTGCAAGTTAATAACACGAATTTTCTTTTGAATGGTTAGCTAGCTGGCCCAAAATAGTTTATTGAATGATCTTTCTGTAACTCTTTAAAATTCTACCCTTTGTATGTATGAGATTGTTAAGTGTGTTTGGCTCTTTCTGGACCTTTTTTTTTTTTTTTTTAAAGATTTTATTTATTTATTTGACAGACAGAGATCACAAGTAGGCAGAGAGGTAGGCAGAGAGAGAGGAGGAAGCAGGCTCCCCACTGAGCAGAGAGACTGATGCGGGTCTGGATCCCAGGACCCTGGGATCATGACCTGAGCCGAAGGCAGAAGCTTTAACCCACTGAGCCATCCAGGCACCTC